CAATACTTCTCCCTTCATATTTTCCACTCGCTGTTGAATGTGTCTATGGAATTTATTTATTTTTGTTCTCTTCAGGTATAATTTTCTCCCACTTACCACGGTCTGTGAAAAGGGTTCGCTCTTTACAAGAAGGAAAAATATATTTTTTTTCGTGTGGTGAAAAATGTAATATTGGGCTTGGCATTTATTAGTCGTTGCTACAAGGTGATTTGGATTAGATAATGCAAATTGTTCGGTGTCATGTAATTTTTCATTTTTTAAGTCATTCTACACAGGAAGTATAAGAGGTTTTATTTGGTGGTGATGGCGTGACTTATGGGAGGGATGATGATTGTGATTTGGTGCTGGTGGAGTGCTGTTGAGAGGATTGCGATGGTTTAAAGCATTTTTAGTGGATTTTTGATGTTAAATTGTTAAGTTTGTCTTGAGAACCTTACAGGATGAAGCAGGAGCAGTCTACAATCAATTTATCAATTTCTTGGGTTCATGTTAACTTCAAAATACACAAAAACTCAGCAATTTGCTTCTTAAAGTCTCCCTTTAAGCCTACATCAATGCTAATCAATTTTAATTATGCTAATATGTACACAACCCCTATGACATTGAAAAAACATTATACATATTACATTAATAAATTTCAATATTCATAAAAATTAAGGTTACAGCATAGAAAAGCATTCAACAATGTTAATTCAATTATACTCATCATGTCTATTACGACAGCAGGAATGGAAGGAGAGAATTGTTGAATCAATAGACTTAGAATCCATAGAAATATTTTATAATTTACATATACAGTAAAAATTATGGAAATTCAATTGCTTAATTTAGTTTCACTTTCATTATTGACAAGCACATAGGCAGGAAGACATGAAAATTCCCATCAATTTTTATTTACTTCTTATTTTACTGAGGAAAAAAAAGTTTTCTAATAAAAATTTTCTCCTCTATTGCGTTAAAACTCATTAACATTAAAAGGTATAATCCTCTACCTTCAATCGCTTTAAGCTCCTTTCTATGGCATATACAAAATGTTTTTGGATGAGTATTGTGTTTGAATAGATAGGAGACGCATTTGGTGGTTTTTGGGATCAGTAGTGAAGGGTTTAAGATGAAATGGAACAATTCTAGGAAGACATGAACTAGACAACTTAGAATAACATAGAATTGAGGTTAAATCTCAAGTTTGAATCCTATTCTCGACTACCAAACAAATTAGTAGCTTTTTTTTGTAGACATTTGATGAATGAGATACTATTAAGCATTACTAATGCTCGATAGATTGACAATATCATAAATCAAAGGATGAGAATCGAACCCGCATCTCTGGAATATCAACCAACTCGAATCAAAGTCCCTGACATTATACCACCTTGGCAATTAGCTCAGGTTAGCTATTTTTCTTACATATAAGTTCAGTGTCACCTTAAGTTCTACAATCAGCTCCACATATGCTCGTCCCATTTCTACATCAACACCATAACTAAAATATTCATCAGCCTACCCAGCCATCTAGACAAATTGCACACAACAACTCCTTCTATCCATCCACATCCAACAACTCAACAAAATACTTTTCCCATAAAGATTTTCTCCTACCTTAAAAGGTGGCAAAAAAAACTTCATCCGATTCTTTATTCAATGCCATTTGGGATGTGTCTATAATGAGCATTAAACCTATTACAATTCACTCACTACTGCCAGAAAAATCCCCAAAACGTACTTTTCTCATTTCTTTCGCAACAAAAAAGTTCTCGCTTTTTTATGTCATTGATCCTCATCAGTATCATCATCAACGATAGAAGCAAAAGCAATTTAATTTCTCGTTCCCAATTCACCCTCCGGGGCTGAAAGCAGCAAGTAAGCAGAAAGGCTCATGTGTATGCTTGACAAAAAAAAAAGTAAAGAGCCAACCTTTTGGTTCAATTCTCAATTAGTCGCCCCGAGTGAGTAATCTATTCATAATTAGTCACATTTCTGAATGTGAACATCCTTACTGCTTTTCCCTATGTCTTTTGTTCATTAATTACAGTCACACACAATAGAATCCCTAGCAGAAATTTACTAGTAATTTCCTAGTAATTTACTGGATAACTTTCCATTTGCTACTTGCTATTTACTAGTCAAAATCCAAGTTCAAATCATCGCCAAAGACCCGCATTTAAACTTGCTCATTGACTAGTCAATTCGCTTACAATTTAACTAGTAATTTACTAGCAAATTTGTAAAAAATTTAAATGAATATAACCGTTGATTTCCACGTGTTTTTTTTGATTTTTTTATTTGTGTAAATTATTGTAAAAGTATTAGTGTGTACTTAGTTTAATTAATTAAAGTACACTAATACTACGAAAAAAAATAAAAGACTTAATTTAATTAAGTCAAACACTGATGAACGCTTATGACTCGCACGCAAACCTGAGGAAGGTAAATAATTAAATTGAATGTCTCATACAAATTTGGATCGAGCTTATAAAGGTGATTTCTGCGCGCTCTTGTGAAGTATATGGCAAATGCCAAATTTAGAACTAAATTTTTTATGATGCAAAAATTTTTTTTTGATGATTTTTCGTAGGATTCGAACTTAAGAAGATTTGATCAAACATGTCTCATGGAAATTTGCTAGTTATTTGCTATTAAATAGTAAGTGTAATTTACTAATAGTAAGTTGTTTTAATAATAACTAGTAAATTGCAAGTAGTAAAATAGAAAGACTAGCAATTTGCTAGTTAGTCTCGCTAGGGAATTGGAACCACTGAATGCGGTGTGGGAGAAGAAAAAGTTTTCGGAATTGTTTTTTATTTTTTGTGTGGGAATCGACAGGATTATTGAGGATGTTGTGGTCCATTGATTGATGCGGATTGTCTAATTAAGTAAAGAATTTGGCAACGGTTATGTTTGTGGTGATGGATGTTAAGAGATTGGTCTGTTGTGAGAGGTTCAGAGTTGTCATTCAAGGAAAAGTTTTATCTGAGGTAATTGTGGCTTAAGTAAATAGATTCGTCAATGCTATTGCAGGAACTATGTGGTAGAATGGCTAGGCAACAGTTAAAGAGTCACAAAAGCCTTTCTTTGTGAGAATGTAGGTTCGATTCTCACCAGAACCTGGTCCTTCTTTTGTTATAAAGAGGAGTCAAATGTCTAGACTTAAAAACCTTAATCTTTAAGCAGCATATGCTCCTTAATCACCTAAATTCATTAGAAAAATCCGTAATCCATACAACATGCGCTACTTCCAAATAATCCACAATATACCCAACCATACTCAAAACCCCATAAGCGCTTCTTCTTTCCATACATAAAAATTTCTGTATTATTATTGTTATTTCACAAAAACTTCCAGTTTTGGTGCCTTTAATTTACTTTATGAGGACGTACGCGGCAACAGTAGCTGCTAAACAGATAACAAGAAGCATACAAAAAAGGGACAAAATGAGGAAATTAATGTTCGAGGCCCTTTTTTACATCCTCACGCAAAAGAAAAACTTTCATTTTGTTTGCAGCCTTTCCACTCCATGTGTCACATGGAATGAGAAGTTCTTTTTTTGTATGTGACACATGAAAATCTGTTTATTGCTGTTTGTTTGCTTGTTGTTTCTCTTCTTTATCGTGCTTCTCCTTTTTTTTAGTTTTTAAAGAGGATTAAAGCACAGACGCAAAAATTTCAAAATGAAAATGAAAACGAGTGGAAAATTTAGTGAAAAATTTGTTTTTTTTTGGAGAAGCGGCCTTGGGACATAAAAATGAGGAACATCCGATTGTGAAAATGAGAAAATTTTCTGCTTTTTGTGGGGATTTTTTTTCCTGAGAGATGGAAAATTTGAAAGGTTAAATTGAAAAGGTTTTTAAGGAGTGGAAGGGGTTAATTAAATCCTTTGAAAACCTTTCATAAATGAGATTTTAGTGGATGGATATACCTTTTCGTAATTTAAATTGTGTCAGGTTGAGTTAAAGCGATGCGAAGAAATTTCTAAATTGTCTTTGAATTCAAATAGAGTAATGATGTGCATAACATCCGTGCCCGAATAGCACAGGTCGGTTAATCGAATAGAAGTCCGACTGTAAGCTGGCATGTCTCTAGCATGGTACTGACTTCGATTTAAATCCAGGACCATGTCAAAAACATACTAGCTTGGTTCCGGATTTATAACCGACTTGTGGCATTTGGGATAATAACTCAAGCAATCCAGAAAACGAAATGAATAAGATACTCTACAAAAAATTTAGATCCTTCCTATTTGTGGTATCAGAGCAGAGTGAAATCTGGGATATGGATCTAAATATAGGCGAATATGCCAGTCTGGAAGGAAGACCTCTGTGGTGGAAGTGATTAACCATCGGAAGATTTTGTGAGGACCTACAGGTTCGATTCCCCAATAAAGCTGATCTCTCAATCATTATAAGAATGTTGTCAATATGACAAGGATTCGTACAATGCGAACACAATCTTCCAAATATGAATGAATCACAACTCAAACATCACCTCAAGCATCTTTAAAGGAACCTTGAAATTTCTTCAAAAAATCACGTTGAAGCTTCGTAAACAATTTTAAATCCCATCAATTATCCAAAAGCTTCTTACTTTCTATGCAATTAATTATTTTTCTCTTCCACAGAAACAAACAATTTTTCTCATAGATTTTTTTTTGTGACTTTTTGCACAAACAAGAATTTCTGTGCCTTCCTAAATATTTATTTATTTCCTTATTGATGACCAAGAACAAACAAGAAATAAATCAAGTCAATAGAAAAATAATTTTTTTTTCTTCGTAAATTTCCTTTGAGGAATAAAAAAAAATAGCCTAAATCAGCAACGACAAAAAAAAAGCCTACACAATTGTCTGAGAATGCTCGTGCAACAGAAAAAATAAACACAAAAGAATCTTGTAAAATGAACAATAATTTGTGTTTATTTTCAATTTGAATTCCCTTGACAAGCTTTCGTATGGCTTCAGAAATAATGACTAGTAAGTATGTATGTCGATTGTTGGTCTACTTACCAATGTTACCTAGTAATTGAAGAATGACTCCTACACTTATAAGTCTACGAAGCATGTCCATTTTTGAATATTTTCGATTCATTGTGATATTTTTACTAATTTGAATTGATGGATTAATAGATAATGCTGGATTTTGGTGGGATTTGCGGTCTATCGTCATATTTTTTGTAGGTTTTTTTAGGGTGTTGGCAACTTTTTGAATTTGGTAGTCGGATTATTAGGTTTTGTTGAATTTTTATAATTTTAATTTTAATTTTTTTTTTAAAAATTGATTTTTCACTTTTTGGTATTTTTTAAGGTTTGAATTTTTTTTAACTTTCTCAATTTTTGGAATTTTTTCAAATTTTGTTTTTTTTTGCTGTTTTGATATTAAAAAATCAAATATTTAATTTTTCAAACTTTAGTTTTTAATCAATTTGAATTTTTTCTCAAAGTTTGAGTCAATTTTCACTTTTACTTGTCCATCAACTTTTTCAATTAAATTTTTGTTTCCAGTTCCACTTAACTTTATCAATGTTCTTTCAATCTACACTTTTAATCAACAAATTTTAATTTACTTCCACCAAACAACACAATTTCATTGTTGCTCAAAAATTTTATATTTTAATGACTTTTTTACAGTTTTTGTGTTTTTAATTTTCTCCTTTTCTCGGACTCACAAGCACATAAAGTTAATTATGTTAATGTTATTTTATCATCCACACAAAAATTTGCATTTTTATCTCCTCTATCATGTTTTATTCATTTAGAGAGAATTTTTATTTTCTGTTTAATGCCTGAAATTAGAAAAGGAGAGAAGAAAATTCGTTTTATTTTTGTGAATGAAATTTCATTGTTTTTTGAAAAGTTTGAATGAATTTAGAGAAATTGTTGTACGTTGTATGATGTATGGAGCAGGAATGAAGCCGAAATATGTAGGACCAACTCAAATATTTTACTAAATAGGTTTTAATTTCTAATCTTCAAAAATTTGCTTTTCAAACAAAAATTTTTCAAGCCCTTCGCATGCAATTCCAATAAGCAGAGGTGAAGCCTTAACGATTTTATCCATCTTGGCCAGGTTGAAGGAAGGACCAGTTTCATGCTTACAAGCAAATGCTTCGTTCAGAATTCTAAAGAAGACCTTAAATGCTTTGATAGCTCAACAGGCGAGACATGATTCACAAAAATTAGTAAACTCTCAAGTTTGAATCCTACCAGCTTGGTGATTTGGCAGAAGTAAAGATATTGTGGAAGACCAAAGAACTCATGAAAAGAGACTGTTGCTAGAGACAGTATTGCATTCGGTATAGGAAATTGGCAATCGGTAGCAATCGATAGAGTCAGTTTTAGGCGGCATCTAAGCGAGGCCATGGATCACAACTGATCTGTAAGGTCATTCAAGTAAGAAAGTAAAGATATTGCGACTTTCTTAGTAAGTAGCATGTTTTATGACCTTATTACGTCCAAAATTAACGGTCATATTTCAAAAATGAAACAATTATTATTGATATGTTCTTGCTGCATCCCCCCTCCCCCCCTGGACGTCATGAATGAACAGCCTCTAAGTACTTCAGCCTCAATTCAACATTGTGACCACTTCTATGTATCAAGAGCATTCAAAATCCCAAAATATAAGCCACAAAAGCAGCAACAGCATTAACTATTTCAATTTACTTTAAATGAAAATCCACCTCATCCTTATAAACACATTAGAAACTCTCCAAACATAAAATTGACCCAAAAAAAACTGACAAAAGTCAATAAAGTCCCACACCCCTGATCCCTATCTCATCATATCACAACAATGTCATGCATGAAATTAATTCCCGTACATTTATACTCCTCAAAAATGAAATTTTTATATTCTTGTCGTATTTTTCCTCAGAAAATAAAAGAATTTCGAGATAAATTTTTTTTTTAGAGATGACGACGATGATATGCTCAGTTGATGCACAAGTGCTATGCACTGCAGAAAATAATTTCAGTTTGTATGTTTATTTTATATTCTATGTATGAAAAACCACTTCTATTTAGTCTCGGAATATTATTATGCTTATGCATGTAACACACTCGACTTCACTTAAAATTCCTCTCCTCTTTTTTTTTATTCACATATGATTTTTTTGTTCTGTGCTGCTCGACTGCTGTGGTCTCACCATTATCATCATTGAGACGATGCAAAAGAGAGTGAAGGATGAACAAATGTGTTCATTCAGAAAAAAAAGATAATTTTTTATTTTTTGCTGTTGTTGAGTTATTTTGATCTCTTTTGAGGAGATGTGGATTTTGTGGGTGAATGCGATTTTATTTTTTTTTTTTTGATCTTTTTTAGAATGAAAAATAATTCTTTGTTGTTTCTTGCTTCTTTTATTTTTCTTGAATTTTTATGTCGTGTCAAGTTGGAATTGGAGGTAATTTTCGCTTTTGTTTGTCTTTTGAGTTTTGTTTTTTGTTCATTTTATGGGTTTTGAGTTTTGTGGAAATTTTCAATGACACGATTTTCATTCTTATCGTCTTAAATTATTTAAACAATCTGAAGTCAATTTTATAATTCTTTGAGGAACTTAATTTATAGGTCATTAACTAGACTCAATAGTAGGATCTAAAGTGGGTTGGTTGCTTATTGGTTCCGTGCCTTGGAATTTAATAACTGCAACAATGATTTGTCGATCATGGGTTCGAAACTCGGCTTGGAAAATTTATCATATTCTGCTTTTTCGATACAAACAACTGTTTTATAAAGTTCGAAAACTCCTTTATATCACTAAAGTTGGGATAAAGTCAGTATAATGCTATCAAAAAGGTATCTACGGTTCCTATTTAAACCCAATGTAAACAAACAGAAATTTTTGAGTTCCTATTATTCGGACTTCAAATTTTCGATGTTCTTATTTTTCGAATTTCGAATCTTTGAAGTTCTTATTTTCAAAAAAGTTCGTTCTTGTTTTTCGATTGATTTGCAATTTTAGTGAAAATTTCTGCATCTTAGTTTTTTAGAAATTTTTTTTTAACTTTCGAACTGTAGATTCAAGTTTAAAATACAAAATTCAGTATCTTACCAAAAATTTTCATCATTATTATCCAATGCTAGCAAACAGAAATTTTTGAGTTCTTATTATTCGAACTTCGAATTTTTGAGGTTCTTATTTTTCGAAAATCGAATCTTCGAAGTTCTTATTTTTAAAAAAATGCGTTGTGAATTATTATTTTTCGACTAATTTGTAATTTTATTGAACATTCCTACTAGTTTTTATGATTAAGATAATCACTGTGATGAAATTGCATTCCTTAAATGTTTATGCTTTAAAAAACAGCTAGTTTAAAAAAAAAGTAACGGACTTTCTTATTTTGAAATTTTAAAAAAATACCGCCAAAATTTTGAATTTTTTTTGTTTGTAACGGACTCTGTTCTCTTTGCTAACATTGGATTATTATTAGAAATACCTCTATAAGCCAGTGTTTCTTAAACTATGCTTCACGTAGCTTTATTGTTCTGGGAAAAAAATCTAGATGTGTCAATGTGATTGCTAGCGTGGCATGGAAACATGAACAGATGATTGACGCGGTCAGAAAAGTTTTAGAAACACTGCTATGAACTCTAGGTAATTTCAAGGGTGTGGTACTAATGAAATGACAAAAAATGATCAAAGAAGTATCAAAATTTAATTTATCAGTTCCGTGCCCTTGGGTAATTTTCAGTGAACAATCTTTTTAATTTTCACAAATTCCGGAATAATTTTAAAAATTTAAAGAAACTTGTCTGTTCACCCTACACACAATAATAACAAGAAACCAAGCCTGCACCTCCAAAAAAATAAAATTTTCTAAAAACTCGCGTCTTTTTTCTCCATCAACACATGCCTGTCTTCACCCCCATCTCCCTTTAATCTTTCCCGAAAATGAAAAACTCTAATGTGATTCACGCTCCATTAACATTTTCTCATAACAACAATTACTTAATTAAACTAATTCATTCAGCATTGCTGTCATGTCACACACAAAAAATACTTTTGCGTTTTATATTTTTTGATTACCTTAACAGTCAAATGAGAAACCGCATTTTCACATGAAAGCAAAGTTTTTCACAGCGTAAAAAGAAATGAAAGAAAACAACAGAACCAAACATGAAATTCACTTTTCTTTTTATTTTTTCTTTCCCTTTTTTTTATATTTCATTTATTTTTTTTACTGCACTTTTCTTTTCCTTCACTTTTCATCAGAATTAAAATGAAAATGAGAAATGTTTTATATTTTTTTATATGTTGCTTTACGAGTCACATAATAAGCACTTTTGTTTCATTCTCGACTGTAGTCTTGATGTTCTTTTTAATGTTCGCAGAACTGAATGGCTGTTATGTTGTGTTATGATATCTCTCTCACTCACTCACTCTCTTCAGCTTTCATTAAGTTTTAATTTGCACATTAATTAGAGTTTTTTTTTAACTTCTTCTTATTCAACTTAATTTCATTTTATTATTTCCATGTATTTTCATCAGTTTGAAGTTGTTTGCTGGTTGGCTTGGCTTCTATTTTTTTCTCTTTTTGCTGCTGGATCGTTGGGAGAGAAAAAAATTCTCAAAACATTTTCATTTTGTAACTTTTTTTCAGTCTGTAAAAAATATGAGAAAAGATGAAATTAATTTTGTTGGTTTTTAAAGTTAAAAGTTTTTTGATGAAAATGTTTGCAATTTTTTCCATTTTTAAGGTTGTTGGATTTTTTATTAATTTTTAAATAAAACTTACAAATTTAATAAATTTTTCTGTTTTTAAAAGTTAAGTTTTATTTGTTTTTAAATGCTTATTATTAACATTTTGAACTATGTTGAGTGTTTTGGATGTTTTGAATTTATAAATTTTTATTTAAATTCCAGAACTATTTTGACTGGTTCTGGCAGTTTGGCCTTCAAAATTAGTCTTCTTGCTTATCCCTGCTTGTCACTAAGTCTTAGATTCGCTTATTTTTAAAACAATAGAAAATTGTTACTTCAAACAACATTTCAGCCCCTAAATTCCTCTCAACATTAAACAGCAACAAAAATTCATTTCATTTACAGCATCTTGTTTATTACCTCTCCCATCCGTGACAAAAGAATTCTTTTGACTAATTAAAAAATAAAAGTCAATTTCACCCCAATTTTCCATCCGCTTTAATGTCCATAAAAAAAATCTCGAAATATTGATTAAAATGTACAAACTTGGTCCTTTTTCCAAGGAACAAAAATTTGTCGTAAATTAGCATATAGCCTATAAAAGCATAAAATTGA